ACAGGATCCTTCTAGAAGTTCATGACGTGTTACTAGCGTCACGTGACTTCCGCTATCGTAACAATACTAACACTAAATCAAAGTCACATAAAATTAAAAAGAACAACTAACCAAAAGTGGCTTTATGCAGCATATTCGACATGTAAAACTACAAACTAGTTTCACACCTAACAAAAGTTTTAATTGTACAGAACCTGCAAGGTATGATGATACATATTTGAATTGTTCATCAGTTAGGATAATTACTTGAAGTAAAACAATTTTATTTAACTAGGAAGATCTGTGGGATACAAGATCGAGAAATCTTGATTTTCAGCTGTCTCACTTCATAATTATGATTAGGTCATTCGATTTAAGATTCATATACGTACCCCTTATGTATATTTAAGTTTGTTTAGCTATAAAAGGTGCATAACATATTTTAAAATAAGCAGAACATGAGTGATTGGATGATTGGTATCACTTGCAGGAGCCAGGTCCACCTTATATATTAGGTCAGAATAGTGAGATTGCGCTCTATTCGTCTCCTTCCATGCCGAATATAACTCTGGGACGTCCACCTGTACCAACCAGTAACTCCAATGTAAGTTTTCTCAGTTATTTATCCATCTTTCTGTTTATGTCGGCTATTCCGCAACTGTGTGTTTGATGTTGAAAGAAGAGTCTTTTATATATATATATATATATATATTTACAAAAATAACCATTTGGTTTACTTACGAACCGTTGTGGTTACTGAACCATCGTGAAGTGACGATTCTATTTTTACTCTAACACTCCAACCAGAAAAGTATTTTAAAAAAAGAATAAAAAACAACAACTCGTAGTCATACTTATAGTGAAGAAGGATATAGAGACCAGATGTTTTCTTTATATAAAAAAAAGTAATTGAAGTTGTTGTAAAGCTATAGCAAAGCTTTTTTTTAACCCATGTGTTTTTTGAATGAAATTCGTATACAAAGAAGCCGCTTTAATTTTAATTATTTTATTTTTATCTCACTCTTTATCAGTATCAACACATAATGTTTCAAGCTTGAAAAAGTTGTAATGGTAATATTTCTTGGGTACACTAACAGTTATCTTAATTAGTTTGTTTGTTTGTAAGTTAAGCACAAAGCCACACAATGGGTTATCTGTGCTCTGCCCACCACAAGTATCAAAACCCGGTTTCTAGCGTTCTAAGTTCGCAGACATACCTCTGTGCCACTGGGATAACTTCATATTTAGTGAATCTTAGACACAAGTTCTGACCGGAGAATCGTCATTTTAAGAAAATCAATGTATAAAAATAGTTTGATAATTAGAAATATTTTAATAGTGCATACACTTTTACAAACAAAATATTAGAATATCTGTAATGATGCAAACACAATTAAATAAATTATTCTTCATAAACATTTCAAAATTTTTTTGTGAGATCAAAATGCAAAATATTTTGTGGTATATACATTATTTCACCATGGTTGTTTAATACAATATGTAGTTTTATGTCCATTCCCCAAATCTTTCTAAACAAGTAATTTTTTAATCACAATTTATTATTCTCATTAAAATATCTTGTTTTTACCACCATAAAATGTGGATATTCTGTATAAAGCTTAAGCTGAATATCACTTTCATTCCTTTAATTGTAACTTTTGAAAAATGTATAACATTGCCTCAAAATTAATGAAATCTTGAAGACGAACACTACTAATAGATCAAATATTTAATTCATGATATCCCTAATGTTTCATTTATGGTAATTGTTTTCTTGAAATTGCAGTATTTAAAGCAGTTCTTTCATAATTGTACACCATCCAAGATGATAGACAAAAATACAAAACCCTGTAACAACTGAGAACTTTTGAAAGGTCCATCATTCGAAAGGGTTTGGGTTATAGGGTTTCATATCTTTGTGTTAAATTTATTTCTTGAACCTACGTGTTTTCTTAACATCATGAATTCAAGAACACAAGATCTCTTAACAGTTAACTTAATTTTAAAGTTGACTTAAACTATACTCAGAGACTTGAAAATATCAAGGGTTTAAATCCTGGTGGAGGTTATTTAAAAAATGCTACCACTAGGAGAACATAAGGCTTGATCAATTTGGTGTGACACCAAGGCTGGATTAAGGCCACAGTTGGCCCATAGTCAACTTCAGTTCTCTGAGCCCAGTTTTTTCTACAACCCCCCTTTTTTTTCCTGCACTGAAATTGTACCCATCAAAACAATATTTCATCAAATATAGTTTTTTTAAATACTTTTGTTTCTAGCTGGAAAAATTAACTGAGAAAGGTTTAATTGACACCAAGGGCTAATAGGCAACTTCCTACTCTGCCTTTTGGTTAATCCAGCCCTCTGTGGCTCTGGCCTCATAGAATTTAAATGGTTTAAGTAGTTGAACACTTGTTTGATGGGGAGTTCTCAAGTTACCTTTATGGTCTGGTTTTTGTGAGTTTTTCCTATTTGGAATCCTAAGAAGAACCTACTTGTAATTTTATAATGGATAACTATCTCCAACTTGTAAGTTTTGCAGTTAGTAAAGTTATTTAACTTGAGGTTTGCTATTTTAGTCTTGAAATTGAATAAAGCACACATGAAGAAAGGATGGAAAGATGATGGAACATCTCCATTTATGTGAGCAAGAACAATATATATTTCTCAAAACCCACAAATTAATTATCCACTGACATTTTAAATGGTTTGAATTTTCATTATATATTATATTTGTATGTTAAACAAAGAGATTTAAAGATGGTATGCAATATTTTGTAGCACAATTGTAATAATTTCTATAACATTTTTCCGATAAAGACGTTCTAAAAACTTTTGATTTATAGAAAATAATAACAAGTTCATTCCATTATTTGTTAAAAGACAGGAAAACACTACTATGTGGTGAAATGAGTCTGTTAAAAGCACTACCTAGCTAATACAAATATATTTAGTTTGTATGTTTACTTCTTAAAATGGAAATGATAGACTATTTCAGTGATGTATGTTTCTTATGAAGTTATTTGAAATATTGTGCTGTAAGATTATCATAAGTAAGGGGTTTTGATCTGTAGGAAGGGAAGGGATTGTCATCTGTGTCTGAAGCTCAGGTTCGAGCCATGGCTGCAGCAAGATTGGGTGTACCTCTTACATCACATATGCTACACTCCTCTCTTCCTTTTTATCCCTCCTTACCAGGTACAGTAGGGGTTTATTTATATCTTGGTAAAAGTGAAAATTATATTGAACTTGAAATGTAGAGTTGGGTGACTAGTGGAATTTGATTATTGATTATTTTCAGTGTCATTAATCATTTACATCCAGTTAATGGATTATTTTCACTTGAGACTTGGATAGTTGGAATAATGAAAAATAGTAATAATCTGAAACACTGATTTCGATTAGTTTATTATTTTTGTGAATTATTACTCTGATTAAACTAAACAACCATAAATTAATCAATGGTGATAGCTAGAAATGATTGACAATACTAATTTTGATTTATTGATTATTTTATGTAATACTGGTCATTGCTCTCAGGTAATCAGTTATATTATTAATCAAATTAATCATCCAGCTCTAAACTTGATATAAATTTGCTTAATTCAGATATCTTCATCAAGTTAGTGAAAGTCCAAATGTAACTTTTGGTTAGGAATTAATGTTTCATTCTCTACTTTTTTATTATATCAATGAAATATTTGTATTTAACATCAGAAATGTAAGTGTTAAGGTTCTCAAGGCTATGATTATTTCTATTTTATTAGTGATAATAGGTACAGGAATTTCTTTCTGTTGAAGCTACATTTTATTTTTAAATGTGGATGTGGCCTAGTAGTTGGTGTGAGAGCAGCGGATCAAAGTTCTAAGGTTTGAACCATGATGCTGCCCAGCATGCTCCTCAATTTCAGCTGTGGGTGGATTATAAGAGTGATACTAAATCTTGTTATTCAGTTCAAAGCTAGACAAAGCTCTGGCTTTGGCAACATGTGCTGCTGACTGGTCTGTACTTCAAAATTAAGAATGACTATACCTGAATTCTTGAGGTCAATGACCTAGATCTTTAGACCATTTACACATAAGTTGACAATCAAGCTAAAAATACCAAGTATCAAAAACTTGTTTTATGTTTTATTTAAAGTGAATTGTTCCTATGATTAATATATATATATATATGTATAAGCATCATAAATAAATTGAAAATTACCAGGCATGTTATCATATTTGAAGATCATCAAGGTGCCCAACACTGACATACCAAGTATTCTGTGTAGCATCTAATTAATGTAATCAGTTTCAACTAATGTTGCTTTCACTTAGTCTAAGCATATGTTAGAACATTCAAGTTGTATTTTATTGTTATGTTTAGAAGTCATTGCAGGAGTGTCTCCTTTGTTATGAGAAAGATTTTTCAAAAAGCTTTATAAAGAAACATCGGTTAGTTGTAGAATAGGATAATTGATTTAGATTTCGCCCAAGTTTACCAAAAAATTGAAATAATTAAACTGTTCCAGGGAAAAACTTTGTATAGTAATTGTCAATGGATGAAGTTATGTTACAGTTAGGATAATAATGATACACCAAAATCCACAAATATTTCAAATAACTGTGCAAAACTGTCTTGCAAATTTAATAATAACCAACTCTGCAAATAGTAAGAAAATATAATTACTTATGAATTCTTCATTGTTTATAAAAAATGAATTATCTGTAACTATCAAGAACATTAATTAGTAATGTGTTCATTCTGATTTCAGTGATTGATGGAGAGTTCACTCCTCCAACAAGTCCTAGTTATATTCAGCAACACAGAAAAACCTTAGAACAAGCCAGAAGCTCAGGGCATGTCCCTCAGATTTGTGGCACTCCCTCCATCATTCCTGGGATGTATATGCCCAGCAATGTAATCACAGATGCTCAAGTGGCTCAGGCACGCTTACACAGGTATGTCATTTCTGTGGATTGTTTCACTTTATAAATTAGTAAGCAGACTTGATTAGGCACTGTATGACAATTTCATCAACTTCTTTTTGTTGAAAACAGTGATAGACATCAATTCAAAGGAGCTTTATAGATGAATTTCTTGGACTATTTAAATGCTTAAATATTACATATTATACCATAATTAGTTTACAACAGTGTTTGTGTAATAAATGTAATTACACAATATGTATTAAGTACTTAAGGTAAGATTGTGTTGATCAGATGTCAGTTATTATTGTGGTTAGTAGCATATATAATCACCTAAGTCTAATTGTTAATCAGATAATTTTGTTTTTAATACTAGATAGTAATTACTAGTTGGTTTGTATGGTATGTTTTGACTACTAACCTGCTGCCATCTTTAGGGGTCTGCGGACTTACACCGCTAGAATCCGGGTTTCGATACCCGTGGTGGGCAGAGCACAGATAACTCATTTTGTAGCTTTGTGCTTAATTACAAACAGCAACCATCTTTAGGGAAGTATTTATACTCACTTCTATATTATGATTATTTATGATCTTGTGATGTTCTATTTGATGTTATGCTGTTTATGTAGGAACATACACAGACCTCTTGGCAGGACACAATCAGCTCCACTCCCTTTGGGACACCCTATGTTACAACCCCAAGGAATCATCTTATCTCCTCAGCAGAATGAGCATTTTTTTAGAAAACAACATTTGTATGATCAGCAGCTACATAATGTGTTAAAGCAAGTAAGAAAAGATTTGACATTTATTTTATACGACATTTTAAATAATTATTGATTTTAGGGAATGTTTCAATCTTAATAGTATAGATGATGTAAATAGAAGGTGTGACCTTCATGTAGTGAGACATCTTTCAGTCATAAATACTCAGTTGAGACATATGACTTATTAATTAAAAAACATTCAACATATAGCTTCATTCCTTGCTGTTCAATAGCACATTCGTCAAACAGTGCTAACCAGAGCAAGCAGCAAGAATCAAGTGGAAAATGTTGAGGAGGAGACAGAAGCTGCTGTTGCCCAAGAAATGAAAGATGCTCCTCTATCTTCAACAGAAACTCCCACACCAGAAGTTATTGACCTCACTGAACATAGAACTAAAGAAGATGAAGGAGATAGCGAGCTAGCAAAACAGCAACGTGATCGAGAAGCATTCCTTCAACAACAGCGGGATATTATGGCAAAGTCGTCCCTTCAGATAAGTGAAGGTAAACATTTTCGCTATTACATCTTCAGTCTAAGATGCAGTTGTTGTGTTTTTTAAACTTATTAATCTCTCAATTTTATTTTTAAATATGGTAATAATCAAGCAATATATATATTAGACTTTTCCTTGCTGTTTTAGAAATGTTGGCAAGCTACTGGACATTTGACTTGTAGTTTCTATATCCTTCCATTTTTAGTGATTTGTACAATTGCCAGTTTTAAGTTTATGTTGATTTTTTAGGCATTTACAATATGTCAACAGCTCTTTTTTGAATATTTGTATCCAAGCTATAGTAATAGAAGAGTAAAAATTACTGCTCATTTCTCTAACATTTGTTTTGTGGCTCACACATTTTGTATAAAACACACTGAAGTCAGAAAAAATGTCTTCTTACTGAGAAAGAATCTCAAATTTCATTTTTAACATTTACATAACTTATCAATCTTGTAGTACAAAAATTTTTAGAAGTCTATTTTATGTTTTGTTTTTTTAGTGATATGTAAAGTTGTTAAGTTGTACAAATGACTGGATTATCTGGTTGTCTTTGTTTACTAATTAATGGAACTGTAAAGGTTAAAAACCTGATTTTTATTAAACTTAACTAAACAATACACAATACTACTTTTAACATGCATAGAAAAGTATTTTAATATGCCTCTGTTTTTTTGTTCCTGTTGAAATACTAATGGGAATATGTAGGGAATAAAACATGCATTACATGTTTGCCTAAGTAATATATAAAAACAAAAAACTGGTTACAGAGTAATGGTTTTAAATTACAATGCTTAGGGTTGGTATTTATTACTCATTTCAAGATATATTTTAGTTTCTGTTAATTCTTCAAGGTTCTGCTTTTACCCCACGCCATCATATTGTCAGACCTCTGTTACGTGCCCTGTCTAGTCCATTGGTTACATTAAGTCCAACAGGAAATTCTCAAGAAAGTACAATTCCAGTTTCAGTACACCATACTTTCACCACAGGTTAGATTTTTTAAATTTTTACTTTTCACCTTTTGTTTTATAGACTAGTAGTTTGGTTCCCTTTCAAACTTAAAATTTTTATTAAAATATATCGTTTTGAACTAATATTTGAATTATAATTCATTTATAACATTTCTATTATATACTTTGAATCTCTAATTCTTTCTGTTAACTATTTAAAGAACAAACCTATCACCTAGTAACTTTAATTCATGTATACAGGGGTGTATATTTATCACTACATATATATATTTGTAAAGTGAAAACAGGTGTGATATGATTGGTGGCAGACAAAAGGTAGATCTGAAGTATCAGTCACTTCTGGTTTCAAACAAGTAATGGAGTTACTATGAGGATTGTGAGAAAAACATTTTGAATGTAATATGTTGTTTGATCCTATTTAGTGGGCTTAATTATCAAGTTCTCAAGTTTTCCATCTTAGATATTTTGCACTATAACAGCTAGAAGCTGTTTTGAGCAGTGTAAAATTTAAAAGAGACAGTGGTGAAGATCATCCTCTCTCTCTCTCTCTCTTTTTTTTAATCAACTGTGAGGAAGCATTTGAGCCATTCAAAAAAATCTTGGTCTAAAGATTTTTTGACAAAACATGATAATGTGTTGATTGAGATTTTCTCTTGTAAGATAACATTAAGCAATTATTTTTATTCTCAAAAACATAGTTAAATTTCTATTTTAGGTCAAAGTTTAACCATACTATTCAATGTGAATACAAGTTATATGAAACCAAGTATATTTTCCACTTTATCATTAATTATGTCATAATACAATCTATGTGTGGCAGTCTACCCTTCCTTATTTTCTATTGTGGGAGGAAGCTTATACAATATTCTTGCTTGCATTAGGACACTGAAATAATTTTTTTTTTTTTTTTACCTTACCACCTATTCTCAGTCCAAAAGAACTAGATGCCCCAACACATCTAGTCATGCCACAGAAAATATATTTTCAACCTACAGAGATCTGGACCGAAAAACAACCAACTGCAACCAATTATAAGTAATACATAGACACACACACATATACGTATATATAGATCATGGTTTGAAAATAATTGAGAAAAAAAAATATTTTGTTAATTAATGCATGCAGAACCTGTATCATTTTTACATTCAACTGATGAGTTCTAAGCTTCCCATTCATGAAATATATTGCAAGGTCCAACATTTTTACATTTGTACTTTGATTTCATAAGTTATGATTAATCCATTATAACATTTTTTATTTTCTGTAATTTTCATATAATATATTCAGTTTTGTCACAACATTTCAAGTATCAGTGCTCCAGCCAACAAGTTTGTCTATAGTTTTGGTTTTAGTGTACCTATTTGTGATATCTTCTGTACTGTCACAGTATCTTGGATAGAAGTGTAGAAAGCAAGAAATTGAACTAAATAGTTGGTCTTTAAATGTACCGATTGTGTTGCTTTCAGTACTGTCATATATCAGGCATGATTGTATGACACAGCAGGCCCAACTGTATAACCATGCTTAAAATGTTCTCTCACATTACTCAGAATATAATGTATGGTGTCGTCTTTCATTAAGTTTAAGTTGTAAAACAATCAACTTCTAATTTATCAGCACTTAGTGTCTAGTACTGTTCTTCAGTTTTCAAGTAAGGAGTAAAGCTTCTGGTATAGTTTCAATACCTGAAGATAACATACTGATATGTCACGTGTAGAGACCACCATTTATAGATAATTGATACACATGAACTCATATAAGCATTTAAATGTAAGTGATGTAACTTGTAACAATCAAGCGATCCCTATAAAAATCTTTGTGGCATGTTAATTTGCACAATATTGTTAAGGACAAATATCATGTTTAGTGAAGAAGCAAGTAATATTTGATAGATAAATGTTATCATGAAGCAAAGTATTCTTTGTAAAGCTATTACTATTAGTTGTAATGTAATATATCTGAAGTAAACTGATTTTACATGCCCATAGTTGGCATATTTTTCATAATTTTTTGCTGATTTTTGCTAAATCTTGAATTTATTTTGATTTTATAAGAAGCTTTCCTCTTTCATTAGGTTTGGTTTGTGACAATCTAATGTTAAAGCATCAATGTATCTGTGGTGACAACTCTTACCATCCAGAGCATGGTGGTCGACTTCAGAGTATTTGGGCACGACTACAGGAAACTGGGCTGGTTTCTCGATGTGAGGCAAGTTTGGTTTGAGCACTGATATGATGATTTTTTTTAACATGGAATGTAGAATTGAGCTTTTTTTTCTGAGCGATTTGTTTCTTCTCAGCTCTAAAAAAAGGAACAAGTATGTTTCTTTCATCTTATTTAGACCTTTTTTATCCTATCTTTATGTTGTTTTTAGTTAAAAAACATGTAGATAAAGTCTAATTTTGAACTTCAAGTAGTTGATAACTAACTTTCTCACACTGACAGGTTCTAGTTAACTCTAACTTTTGAGAACTAAAAAATTTGTAAATTAAATTGTTTTCAAACATTGCAAAAACAATAATTAGCAAAACAACATACACTGGATCTTAAAAATGATTCATTATTCATCTAAAAGCAAATTTTGCATATTCTTGTTTTTTAAAAAGGAAAATCTTTATGGAAAATAAATTCCCTAAGTAATGGAAGTATAATAAGGTCTGTTACACATGTAGGATGAGTTTTGCAATTTTTTTTTTTCATTACAGAGGATACGCTCTAGAAAAGCCAGCTTAGAGGAACTCCAAACCTGCCATAGGTAAGTCTGTACATCTTGTAATACTAAAGTAAGTTTCAGCTTATATTGGACATTTAACATTATAACTTATAATGTAAGGACAGCTTCTGACTTCATGGTATCACTACTAATTCGCAGCTGATAAGGTTTCCTTCTTATCAGCCAACAGTTTTTTTTATAACAAAATACTTTTCTGTCTATTTAAGTTGAACACAAATTAAGGGTTGATTTTTTTTTATATCTTTAATAACAGATTTTGGCAAGCAATTAGGATTTTCTTTTTTACATGTTAATATTGAAAGATGAATTGATTGTATCAGTTATGCAATACAACATATTCAAAGTATTATTTATAATGAGAGTGGCCCAGTGGTTAGCATGTCAGGGTGTAGACCTGTGGTTCTATTATATCACACCCTTTAACTGCCAAAAACAAATCCTGCTTTGCACTTAGGAGCCATAAGTGAATTATAAGAGAGATGACCAAATTCCGCTATTTTATTAGAGTAGTCCAAGAGTTGGCAGTGGGTGGTATTATCTTCCTTCTAGTCCATCACTTCAAAATTAGGGACAGATAGCACTGATAGCTCCTAAGTAGCTTTGGGCAAAATTCAACAAACAAAGCACTATTTCAATTATTTGGAAAATTTATACCATTCACGACTATATAAATCTGGAAAAAGTTATAGCTTTTTCAAAAACTTTGGGAAGTTTAAGATATTTTATGAACTTGAAGTTAGGGGTTTATTGACAAATTTAAGAAGGTAAAAGTTTTATTTGCAAACTTATGATTAAGATTTACTTACATGTAGGTGTAAAAGTCCCTGGTGGTTCAATGATAAGTTTTCAGACTTACAACTTAAAAGTTCAGGATTCATTTTCCCATGGTTGACAGAGTGGAGGTAGCCCATGATGTAGCTTTGCACTAAGAAAACAACAATATATATATATATATATATATGAAAATGAAGTTTTATTTGAAAACTGGAGAAAGTCAAAGTTTTATTTACAAGCTAGGACAACAGTTCAAACTACAGTTATTAATCATTGTTACTGTATTTTCATTGAAACATAAAGTACCTCAGTGTAGAATAATAACTATGAATGTATGTGATGTTGTTGTTGTTTTTTAAATTACTTTTCATTTCATTTTTAGTGAAGCATATACCATGTTATTTGGAACCAATCCATTAAACAGGCATAAGCTTGACATGAGCAGACTGGGTGAGTATAATTTATTGTGTAATTAAAATTATTTTTGTACAGAGAGTAATACTTATGGGTTTGTATCATGTTTTAATCTTTATCATTTCAAGAGGTATTGATAGTGATTCAATGCTAGTTTTTAATGTTGTTTTATGGCTATATTTTAGAAAATTTAATAATTGTTTCAAAAATGAATGTTTTGATGGTAATTAATGTTATAAATTTTAGCCTGTCATTTCTTGTTAACTAATTTTTAACTTCTAAAAATATCTATTTATTTTAATTAACAATTAATTTATGTTAAATCAAATGCTTTATGGATGTATTTTCAAATTATTGTGTCTTTCATATGTCTACTATAGTATATTTAGTCAATAACTATAGAAAATTGCATGCAGTTAAAAAGATATATGTTAAAAGATATCTCATGATACTTTAATAAAAGTAATTTTTTCCTAAGTATTACACTTATGCTTTGTAGAGTATCTGTCAGTTATGTATTACTAACATTTTGTACTACATGCATTGCATCAGACTTGCCAATCAAAAGCTTTGTGATGTTGTCATGTGGAGGAATTGGAGTTGACTCGGACACAGTATGGAATGAGCTACATACTGCTAGTGCTTCTCGCATGGCTGCAGGATGTGTAATAGAGCTAACTATGAAAGTAGCTACAGGAGAAATCAAGGTAAGTTATAAACTAGTTTGGGAGTTATTGGTAACTTCTGCTGGAAGGGGAATGGATTATGCAGCTCATGAGAAAAAGTTTGATACCAGATGTAAAAATATATGAAATATACTTCTAGGAATTTAAAAATGTAGAAGTTGAATCTGGAAGGCTATAGAAATAACAACTGTTTGTGGAGAGGATAGATTTGTAAAAGGTGGTTGCTGAAAATTAAAGATGAGATAGCTTCTGCTGAATTAATAAAGATATAAAGGCTTCTGTTGGAAAAAACAAAGGTGGTTTCTTGAATGGTCAAGATACCTTTCACAGGAACGTTGGTTGTTGGGATAAAAATATGAAAATGGTACTGTAAGAGTAAACATATGAAAGACGTTGCTTGAAGAGTAATGGGTGAAAATTTGATTTTAAAAGAATGAAGAGGAGAAAGTCATTTCTGGATCAATAAAGGTATGAAAAATGTTGCTTCAGGTGTAAAGGTGTGAGAAATATTGGTGGAAAGGTAAAGATGTGAAAGGTGCTGCTATAAGGATAATGGTAAGAAAGCTGTTTTTAGAGTAGTGGAGATGTGGTAGCTTTTGCTGGAGGAATAAAGGTATATGGCTGTCACTGTAGAGAAATATTTGTGTAGATGTTATTGCTGGAGGAATAAAGGTATATAGCTGTCACTGTAGAAAAATATTATTTGTGTGGAAGTTATTGCTGGAGGAATATAGGAGTAAAATATGGTTTCATGAAAAGTAAAAATGCAAAAATAGTTAGTGGTGGAAGGATAGGAAGGAAAAAAGTTTAGAAATATGACTATTAAAATATTAAATATATAATCAATATTAACTTCTGATCAATTTAAGCTATATTTGTATGAAAACACACTTGTACATATAAATTGTGGAAAGTTGATATTTTGAAAAAAAAAATATTTATGAAACTTGTTAGTTGAGAAGTAAATACATGAGAAATATTACAATGTATGGAAACCTTACTAAACAAATGTTTTTTAATGTTGCACCCCAATTAATTTTATCGGAAAGTGTTTACTAGGTGATAGTGGCTTGAAAATCTTTAGTGGAAGAAATTTTTTTGTCATTGTGTACCTGCTTTTCCACGAACTTCTTAAAGCTGCTGAATTAATTGAACTGATTAACATTTTAAAGCATGTGTGTGTGACAGTTTAGCACAAATAACATGTCATTGTGAAGTTCATTGTCTTATCTTATATTGAAATAAAACCATAAAACCTTAAACATAATAATTAATAATCAATCTTGGCAATGTACAGTAAGAGCAAATTAAAGGTTAAAGGTCCAGTTTTTCAACTTTTTTTCTCTCTATTGTGAAAGAATGGCTTTGCTGTTGTCCGGCCACCTGGTCACCATGCTGAACCTCAACAAGCCATGTAAGTAAATTTAGAGTAAATTACCATTTTATATTAAGGGTTGATTTTTATTTTGATTGTGGTCTTTGAACTAAATAATTTTTACCGTATTAAAATTATAATTGAATAAAAGTGAGAATGTCATTGTTGAATTAATGAAGATGTTGCTGGAAGAGTAAAGATGTGAAAGTTTTTGCTGGAAGGATAAAGATGAGTTGTTGGAGTATCAAAGATATGATATTTCTAAAGTAATTTTATTATGTTATTGAAGAAATCAATATTTCAGCACTGTTATAAAGTACTAATACTTCCTAAATCAGGATGTTCATCATGGAAATGAATTCCATTAAAACACAAACTAAAAATTTCATGATTTAAACTTTACAGTCTTAACATTTCAAAGTTGAAATACGTATGTTTCTTATCTTATTTACGTTATTGATTCTATTTTATTTTTATGATGTACATAGATGTAAAAAATCTTATCACATCATATATTATGAAGTTCATATAAGGTATACACATGCCTCTTAATTGTGCTTAAATTTTTAAATCAAAAGAATGATATAGAAAGATTTTTTTTTGTATTTCATGAATTAAAACACACATGCAAATCTCATGCAATTGAAATTAGTGTGCTTTCAAAATATACCAAGCAAGGAAATGAGAGATATAACCATACACGATAACTTGAAACTTTTATGCAATTGTCTATGGGGAAAAGAATTAGTAATTAAAAATCTAAAATACTATAAAACAAATAAACTATTATGAAACACATTTTTTAGTATTAATTGTTTCTCCCTGAATTTTAGGGGTTTCTGCTTCTTTAATTCCATTGCTATTGCTGCAAAACAAGTGAGACAAAAGTTGAAATTGGAAAAAATCATGATCATTGACTGGGTAAGTTGTTTGTTTATCCTGGTAGCTTTTGTTAACTTCTTTTTTTTACATCTGACAAAATATTAGATAATTCACATATAGTTGAATCAGGGGGATGATCTTTATAATGATAAAAAAATTTATATCTTTAATGATTTGAATTTGTTTTATTTTAGCCAGCTTTAATTTTGATTTTTATATTTGTTTTTAAATTATTTTGCATCATAACTACTCCTATAACTAATACTTAAATATTATCCACTTTTAAGGATTTCTGCATTTGATCTAATGATGACATTAAACTGTTTTTTATAATTTTATCTTTAAGCCTAGATTTTAAATGCATTTTAATTATAAGTTATTTAGATTGCATGATTCTTTCTACCCAAAAAGCTGCCATCCCCACTAAACAAACAAACCAAGAGCTGTTATGCATCCAAAAAAACATTCTGAAATAAAAAAAAAGTATAATAAAGCAATAAATATTTCTTTTTCTGAGAAATCCTGTTTTAACTTATGCCTTAAACTAGGATTGCGTTATTCTACTTTTTACAATATTCTTTATGATACCAATAAATAACCTAATCATGAATTCAAGAGATAGATAACTCGTGTAACTCAAACACTTTCAGAAAGTTATTGGATTATCTGTGGTTCATCCTGGATTGTAGAATTTGTATTATCTTCAGAGTTTAGAAATGCTTGTGAAAACAATAATCTGTACTAAATACAATGAAGAATGTCTCATTTCATAACATTTTAGTGTCATAACTTCAAAAACATTATTAAATAAATAAATTGGTGAATTGTAATCTGCAGCAAGTCTTTTTAAATAAGAGTTAATATAGTTTGCAGACATGGACATAAGATTTAGGAATGCATAAAATATTTGTGATCTACAGTTCACCACTTTCCGTAGACTCCCATATGAAGTGTAACTTTTGAATAACCTTTCAATGTGATTCATGATAAGTAATTGCAACATTTTTGCACTATTTAAATCAATAACTCAATCTTGCTATTTTCTCCAATCAGGATGTTCATCATGGAAATGGCATTCAACAGATATTTTATGATGATCCTCATTTTCTCTACATTTCTCTTCATCGTCATGATGATGGCAACTTTTTTCCTGGAACTGGTGATCCTCTAGAGGTAAAAACAGACACCTGGAATATTCAAACTTTTTTCTGTTGTACAATTGGTAATAATTAAATATACTTATTTCCAAGTCACTTATATTCTATTTAAGGGCAAATAAAATATAATTCCTAGCAAGTGTTCATTTCTAAGCATATAAGGAGAAAAAAAAAGATTTTAAAACTATATTTGTGGCTAAACTTTAAGCTTTTTAATGTCAAACTACTGAATATCATTTCAGTTCTAACATCTCCAAAAGTATTATTTTTTAATCCTAGTTTGTGAGTGATCTTTATTGGATATCATACTTGCAGTGAACAACAGGTTAGTATATATATAATTTCTATAAAATATGCAGCTGTATTTAATAGAAAACAATTACTTTTAAGTTATAATGGGTTATTATTAGCACAACATTTGTGTAAAATATGCATTTGTTTTTTATGGTAAAACAATATCAGTATTAATTCTATATTTAGGTGGGAAGTGAAGATGGAATAGGGTTTAATGTTAATATTGCCTGGTCAGGTACATTAAAACCACCAATGGGAGATGCTGAGTATATTGCTGCATTTAGGTGAGAAGATCTTTTGGATATTGTCATTAAGTAAGAAAACATAGTGCTATATAATTTCAAAAAATTTTGTTTATGCTAAATTGAATATCATATGAATATTCTTATCTCACATTTAACTAAAATATTTGGTAGTAGTAATACTGAAAGCACTATATATATTTTTTTAATTATCTGAATTTTTATGATCAGCCTGTCTATCTCATTGTGTTTATTTGTTCTTGGATCTTTTGAAAAATATGCTGTTGAGTGTATAAACCCCTTCCCTGGATTTTATTTTCCCACCTCTTGGTTGTCCACAAGTAGATCTGGGACTGGTATAAGGTTATTGACCTACCATCCCTCAACCAATTTCTTGTTCCATGGTTCTAGATGGATGATTTCTTTCCTCTCAACTGGTCTTTTTCACTCAGTCTGTGGATGACCACAATCACCATGTCAGATGCCTTTATATATATCCTGATTACCCCATTCTCTAAACATTTCTTATGTTTCATCCATTGTAATCGAGCCTTCCAGTTATGTGTTATTCCCTTCCGCATGGTGTCAGTCCCTTATGTCTTCAATCAAGTCATAAGGACCTTTGCTCGCCACCTTCACATATTGGGGGTTGTCTTTCCATTTCTGCACGGTTGAATGGTTTCTACTTGCCTTTTCTCAGAAGATGTCCTTTTTTAACATCTCCCTTCTTCTGCAGGATGCTGCTTGATTTAGATTACTTTTCATGCTATCCAAGTCCTTTCTAATGCCTACATAGTATTTAATCCATCTAGGCATTTTCTTCTAATCTCATTGCAGGCAGGTTCAGCCTACAACTGCAGAGCTATGAAATATCTGGTTACTGTAATTTTTTTGCACTTTTTATTTTAATCCTGTACCTGAGATTCTTTTGCTTTTGGGAACTCTTGCTTCCCAAGAACAACTCATTCTTTTGAGGCATGCACACATGCACCTCTTCCATTGAACTTTGTGAAACCAGTGGAATCTTTATTGGGAACCATTGTCCTCAATTGTGAACCTCCCTTCTCATCTTCTCAAGAATTTATCTTGGTGACTAGACTGTGCAAATACCATGATTGGCAGTCCATTACCACCATCCCCAACTATCCAGTATATTCACAGTTGCTTCTCTTTTGGATTTTAGTGCATTTTTAAATGACACCATGTCTTCTGGCATGAGAATTCACTTTATTTCAGCATGCTTGAACTTCTCGCTGTTCATTAGGCACGTTCCCTTTTCCTACCTATTCTGGTGGATCAGTTGGTCATGATCCACTCTGACAATTCCACAGCTGTTTCTTATATCACTTGTTGAGAGGGCACTTACTCCAGGACTCTATGCTTTTGAGCATTGGACCTTCTCTTCTAGACTCTTTCTCATTGTGTTTATCTTATTCTTTTTATGTGCCAGGGGCTTTGAACCTGGTGACAGATCACCTCTCTTGACCAGACCACTTTCTGCCTATGGTGTGGTCTCTCCATCCTAGGATTTTCCTTGGTTTTGCTATCAGTTCGACACACCTTTCAAAATCCCTTTGCCTCTCTTCTCAACTTAATGCTTCCTCTCTTCTGGCCCTCAGTTCCTCATCCTTCAACTCTTGCTCTCAGTGCTCTCAGCCAAGATTGGTCTCATCTTTTGCTGTATGCCTATTTTTCTGTTTGAATTTTTCCTTGGATTCTTGCCTTGATACACAACACTCCTGGTTGGGTTCTATAGTATTCTATGGTATTCTTTACTTCTTTGGTTGGTGTCCAGACCCCCTTCCTCTACCCTGTGTTCCCTTTCTATTACTTCAACTTCACATGTCCCTTTTTCATCCAGGTGTATCATCTTTTTGTCTGGTCCATCGCCCTTAGGGTGAGACTCTCAGATCCTGTAACCTTTTTCTTATACCATTACTCCCATTCTTCTACTTTGTCTATCAACATAAGTGGTAGGTTTTTGTCATTGGTCCATCCACCACACCCTTCCTCCCAGTCATTCTACTGTGACCCACCTTTTTGCCTTTTTCACTTGGTTGTTTGACCATGATTTTTCTGTCTCCACCATTGCTGGTTGTCGGGCAATCTTATCCAATACATTTTGCCTTTCCATTTAACACAGGGTATTTTCTTACCCTGTCCTTTCCACTTTGTTATGATTTTTCTTTCTTCACTGACCCCCTTGCCCAACTCCCATACCTAACTGGGACCTTGATGTAGTGTTACATGCTCTCACTCATGCCCTGTTTGTGCTGCTTGATTCATGCTCTTTCTACCACCTATCTCTCATGACTTATTTCCTTCTTTTTCTTACCTGTAGCTGCTGTCATTCACATATCTATGTTTCTTGCCCTCTATACTACTGTGCTTTTTTACTTCTCTACCCAGACTGTTTTTCTCCCTAAGCCTTCAGTCTCTCAGAAGAGTGACCATTCTTTCTCTCCTACCTCCTTTCCTTCTGTCTCTCACTTCTATGTTCATTATTACCTGGATTGTTACCTATGTCCAATTCAAACTGTTTTGTGTTGTTTGGCATGAACTTCCCCCTTTAGGGGTTCCACACTTTCATGTATTCCTTTCTTGAGATCCTTCTTCTTCCAGGGTCCTCTTACCTTCTACTCTTACTGGATGGGTCTGTTAGCTCCTTTGGTTGGTGTATTTTTCTCTGGATTTTGATGCTCACAGGCTGTTTCACATTTCATTGCATCAGCTTCATCTCCTGTATCACTTGGGGTTTATATGCCTCTTCCTGTTTACATTCTGGCCAATGAGTATGCCTATGAAGCCCCAGCCATCAGATGTCACACTCCACGGACTTTTCGTTTGGGCATTTTCTGTTCACATAGGTTTACTGTCTCACTAGCCCCTCCACACATTCTCCATGGGATTCTAATTATTCTGTGTGAAGAGATGAAGTAACATTTTCCTAATCTGAAAATGTATTTCTAATAGATACTAACCTCCTACGCATTCCCACCAAATTTCCCCACTTTTGGTGTATTTTATTCCTGCCTTGTCTATAAAATAAAGTTATTTTGAGTGCAAATGCTTAAGGGGAGTTACTGTGCATGGAGGTTGTGTCACTCTTGTATTGGTGGAGGGCTATTGTAGCTTGATGATGTCATCATGCACCAGCACAGCTCATATTAAACAAGTCAATTTTATGTGGGGGTTAGATCAAGGCTAACGACATGCAAGTTTCATAGACAGATGTATAAGGGATGTAGCTATTCTCTGTGGAGAAGTGAGTGTCTATCGGAAATGCACTTTAAGATAAGGTAAATGTTAACTTCACAGTGTAATTTTTAAAATCGTTCGCAAAAACGTTGCCTTATGCTTTTTTCATCATTAATTTTCATTTAAAGTATTTTCCCATTTAAAAGACATTTTATTTTTGATATAGGAAGGTATAGTGTATCAGGTGTTAAAAAGCATGTTGTTGAAAGTTAAAAACTTAAAGAATACACTAACTACTTTGAATTTATGAACTTTCTTAAGTTAATTTTTTACAGTATATATTATTCATAATAAGAAATCATGCACATGTAAATGTCAAAGATAGAAAACTTGAAATCAAGAAAACAAATAACCTAAGCACTTTCAAAACACAGACTTTCAGAAAACACTTGTTGATTGTTCTGTATTGTAGACTTTTTTAAATATTTATACTTTTAAAATGTTTGTGAAGACAGTTTATATACAATACAAAAACAATAAAGAATGTTTTATTTAATAACCTGTTTTTGTCTCATAACCTGGAATAAATTCACTAAAGAAATAGCTGAGTGAACTTTCTCTTTTTTATTTTTTATAAGCTTTTGACCACAACACCAAAGCCTTTACTGCACAGGGGAGCTTTATGTCATACATGAAATATAGAACTTATAAAAGGTAAAAAAGGTTCACTGATTCTTTTTTCAAAACATTTCATTTAGATTAATAAAAGTCTCTCTGTAGGACTGTTGTGATGCCAATTGCAAGGGATTTTGATCCAGAGATCATCCTTGTGGCTGCAGGTTTTGATGCTTCTTATGGACACCCTGCACCATTAGGAGGTTACACTCTTTCTCCTGCCTGTAAGTATTATTCTGCCCCATAATGAAATAATATAATTTTTCCAGTCACATACTGAATTGTCACACAGTAAGCCAAATGGACACCCTGCACCATTACGACGTTATACTCTTTCTCCTGCCTGTAAGTATTATTCTGCCCCATAATAAAATGATATAATTTTTCCAGTCACTTACTGAATTGTCACACAGTAAGCCAAATGGACACCCTGCACCATTAGGACGTTATACTCATTCTCCTGCCTGTAAGTATTACTCTGCCCCATAATAAAAAAAATATAATTTTTCCAGTCACATACTGAATTGTCACACAGTAAGCCAAATTATGATGCCATCCAATATTAACATTAACTTTAAAACTATGCATTGGTTATGTATACTATTTGTATATAAAACATCTAATGCCTAAAGGTTTCCAAATGTTTTTTTCAGTCTTTCAACATTTGTTATCCTGTGCGATTTATCAACTCAATGCATAAATGTGAAGATCTAAAATGATAACATATCATCAATGAAATACATTGCAGTAAGACTAACTTAACTGATGTGGACACTGATAATCTTAGTTATGTACATCATAATGTGATATGTGTGTGTACAATGGTTAAAATATTTTTTCTTATTTATTCTGAACTAAAATTTACTATACATTTTGCTAAACTAGCACAGTTGGATACATTTTTTAGATGGATATGATCTTTGTTTTTGCATTTGTATTTGTAGATTGTATAGCCTAATTTGCTTTTAGGAAAAAACATGATAAAGTTTAAAACACATTCAAAAAGAAAATGGTGATTAATTTTAAAAATTGTTTCATAACAGTTAATGATGCTAATATAACTGGTAATAACACTAAGTCATTTTTTGTTACTGTGTATGATTTTTATTATCACTGTTTATTTGTTTTCAAGGTTTTGGCTACATGACTAAGCAACTAATGACACTTGCTAAAGGACGAGTTGTTCTTGCTCTAGAAGGAGGGTGAGTTTATCAATTAATTTTTTTAGAAAATATACTAACTATAATTAGTCTAACCTTGTTTTATATATTGGAATAGATATGTGTAATCTATAATATTTTTAAATGCTTCCAGCTCTTTGTTTCTTTTTTTTACAGACATAACCTTCCCTCTATGTGTAAAAAAATGTTTGTTTTTTGCAGATATGACCTTCCTTCTATATGTGACTGTTCTCAAGAATGTGTCATGGCTCTGCTAGGAGATGAGGGGACACCTTTATCAAAAGAAGAAATAACCCGAAAACCTTGCCCTATTGCCGTGGAAGTTCTCCAGCGAACCATCAGTGTTCAAGGTACATGCCATTTATTTGAAACCCCTAAGGTTTTGGTAAAAGTTTTATTTTTCCTGACTTTATATAGTATTGCTCCTCCCCCCCCCCATCCCAGTGGCTCAGTGGTAAATCTGCAGGTTTATAATGCTAAAACCAAGGTTCAATACCTGTTGTAAACACAGAACAGATAAACCATTTCATGGCTTTCCACTTAATAAAGAATAGGTGAAACAAACAAAGTATATAGAAATATATCACCTTACTGTTAAGCTAGATAAAATATTGTCATACTTTCTTTTTTATTATATAAATAATAAGTATGCATTTAAAAAAAAAACAAGTAATATAAATTTTCTTTTCTAATTTATAAACGTTTGGAAGATGTTTAGATATTTTCACCAATATGATTGATACTTTTTTTTTTTTTTGCTGTTGAAATTTATAAGTTGTTTATCTCCATATTCTATCATGGATGATATGTTAGATGTTGATAGATGTCATAAGTAGAATGAAAGTTATTTGATCCATGTAAGTTGGTATTTGCTATTATGCCATGTATTTTGTGTTGAAAGAATGTCTTACATTAAGAACTTGTTTATGAGAAAGTACTTTAATAGTGAACTACTTCTTAATAAAGAGTATAGAGTCTTTATGTGTGTATCTACTTTTCATAGCGATAAAGAAAATTCCAAGTCCTTGCATGCAGATGAGTATTAAAAACAGTTCTTGGAACTAACTTTCATGAGTACAATTACTAATTCTTGTTAATAAAATATTTGAAACAGTCTGCATATTGTTAAAAATATTTTTCTTGGAATTTTTTCATGTATAATTTCCTAAGCACTCCATTGGCCATGTATTAAACGTTGGGGACCCACAATTGGCTATTCACTCTTGGAAGCTCAAAAAAAGGAAAGGGAAGAGGTGGATACTGTAGCAGCTCTGGCATCACTTTCTATGAAAGTTCCACAGGGGCCTCACATTCAGTAAGTCTAATTCTCCTTACATAAATAGTCTTCTGTAAAAACACTTATCACAACCTTATGAAGTAAAGTAAACTAGATTTACTGTGTTATCAGATAGATTATTTTGATTTGAGCATGTAGGTTTACCTTATCATGGACTTTATTTTTTACATTGTTCTACATGTCATATAATGTTAGCACTATTTTTCATCAGTGTAGTTTCTCACCAAATTTATGTTTAGTTGTTTCATAAATGTTTTAAAGTGGTGCTACAAAAAATGTTCATTGCTTAAAACAAAAAAGTTATGATACTTATCCACTTTATAATGTTGAGTTACACAGTTAAGAGTAAACTGTGTTGCTATGTCAGTTTGTATTTATTAAGACTTTATAAAAATTAATATTTTTCCTAAGTTTTTGCACGTAATATTAGGTACACAGAAGGTACCTTGTAATGGATTGGCTAAGGTATTGACTATATCTGATTAACAGTACTTTTTTTATACATGTATGCAACCATCTACAGCATTTTAATGACTGTGATATCAAGTAGTTTGGTAAAAATAATAATGATCGTAATGAAACTGAAGCAAATATACTTTCTTTGGTGGTCTTAGGTGCATCTTGTTATGTCTTAGATTAAAATAGGGTTATATTTATTCCATTGACATTTTTAACTGTAAATCAATGGCTTGGCCAGGTACAAAATTTTGGTGGACCTAGAGTTATGACAGACAGGCAGGAGGCACTATGTATGATGTATTTGGATGAGTGAACCATCAAGCAGACTCTAATTAGGTGGGCCTGGGTGCTGAACGGGTGGACCATGGCCCACCTGTGGCTATGCCACTGCTTTAAAGATTAACTTCTTTATTTCTTATGTAGTAATTCCTACGATTTTTTCAGAAAACTAAATTATAAAAGTAATTTACAAAAAAATGACTCTTAGTTAGTTTTCATCTTATCCAAAGTTAGCAAGGAATTTAAAAATGTAATTTAATGGTACAATGCCTGTAATCTAATATTCGATTAGTATTTTCTTCTTCTTAACTGTATAATGTGTACAACAGGAGAGAAGAAGTGAACTGTTCATCCCAGCAAGCTGAGGAACCAATGGAGGAAGATCAAGATCATGACAAATGAAGAAATAGATGGCTACTCCTTGATACACTGGACATTAGGTCAACACACCATAGTTGACATCCTGTAGAAGTCTCACACTGACCTCCACTTGTGCTGTGGAAGTGAAATCCCACTAGCAAGGGTCATGAATAATGTGTCGCACAAATTTGGATGTTGTAGTCATAGTGCTTGAGCATTGGACAACCTGCTCACTTTAAAAATATATATATACACACACACCACACACACACACACACACATGTATATATATATATATATATACATGTCATATATATGTTTACTTAAGTGATGAGAAAACTTTATTGTTGTAGTATTTTGTGCTTATCATGTTATTAATGAACTCATGAGAGAAAAGAAACATTTTGTGTTTCTGCTGTTCTCATTTTAGTATTAGATGTCACAAGTTGGCAAACAGAAGATACAGGAGATTGTTCTGTCATATCTATTGTTCGTATTTATTCCTGAGTTTTGTTAGATATGTTAAATGGTAAAAAACATATTTCTTATGACTAGATATTAATTAATATATATATATATATATATATTAAATATTGACCAATTAGATATAGTATTTGTTTTTTTAAGTTTCCTTATCTCTAGAAAATAAAAGGGTTAATTACAAGCTCTTCAAAAATACTTGTAGTTTCAACATAGATTTCTCTTAAAACTAGGTCATCAGGCACAGATTGTATAGAACAGGAAGCTAATTGTTATTTGTATGTTTGTGAATGTTGTTTTCTAGAGTAATCTTCAGATTTTTTTATTTTCCTAAAAACTATGAATATTATTCAGAAGTAAATTTATTAAATGTTTTTAGTAAAATTAGATGTCACAAGATGTTCGTTATTTTCTTCTCTACTCTTATCAACTAGTCACAGAAAACTTTGGCAAGAAGCATTTAGTAAAACTCAATCACATTATCATGCTGTAATTTCTGTGAGATTTCAAGTCTTTTTTATATGTTATAGATGGAATTACATCATTGATTTAATATAGCTTGATACATTTCATTCTATTTTGAGTTACATCTTAATGATATTAAAGGGTTGTTCATATTGTTGACTTAAAAATAATTAGTCAAGTTATGATTGTTGATATTGTAACTTACGTGTTATGAATCTTATGTAACTCAAATCTGTTTATAAATTTATGATTCAAGTCAAGTTGTTTCTTTATCACATTGTTGATTTATATGTTACTTATGAATCATTAGTGTAGTTAAGCTTTGTGTGTTTGTTCTTATGTGGCAAAGTTTAACTGTTAAATAAAATATGTATTAATCTATTCAGCTTTCTGAAGAGATTGAAATGATTATCATCATTCTCTTACTTGCTGATACTTACAGCATTTTCCATGAGATTCAATGCTTTCATACGTTTTTGGTAACAACTCAGTTAGAAATAGGACCAGATTATTTTCAGTGGCATTCTTATAAAAGCATTTTGGATTTTTTGAAATTGTTGATCATTTGTATTGTATTGTAAATATACGTAAATAAATCTCTCCAGTTTCCCTAGTTATTGTAAATCACATATTGTGTTACAGGAAACTTTTGCTGTATAGAGGGTTTAGTGGTTTCATTGTTGTTGTTTTTTTTCACTGTATTTTGTAACATTATAAAGTAGATACTGCATGTCTGTACCAACAGCTTTCTAGTCAAAATGAAGTCTCAAGAATTTGTTTGGCTTTTTTAAAGTTTCACAAGGTATAATGGTCACAAGTGAAGCATTTAGTCATTCTGGGCACTCGTTTTCTTTCATTTACTCATCAAGCAGTCAAAGTCCCATTTTTTGGTTTCCATAAAAAATGATAGCATCAGTACACTTATTCTGAAATGTTGTGAACTAAATCTGTAAAGTAAATTATGGTAGAAAAGTGGGGTTGATTATATGTTACTTGCTTTAAATTTTTGGATTTTGGTTACCTATGAACTTTTTTAAGAGGTACCAATTAGGAAATGCTACATTTTTCTTACTTCAGCAGCAAGCTTGAGCTTATTATTTAGATCCTTGGTAGAAAATAATAAGTGTAATAGCAAAACAGCCTCCTCATCTTTACAAAATATGAGAAATTGCTTAAAGTTTTCCTGCAATTAAAAAGGTTTACATAAATTCTCTAAATTTAAAAACATAGTTAAAGATACTGAAGTTTAGGATATTTTGATTAAAAGGACAGGTGCAAGGCTGAAGTATCTTTTATGTGAATATGCTCCCTTTTCAGTTTTATGTTATTTTTGGGGTCACTGAAGATCAAATAGTAAGTATCAGATGCTGGAGAATCTGGAGGCTTTGAAAAAAGAGTTCTTAAATTGTTGAGTTATGAAGAATATAAAACGTATTCAATCTAGGTTATTTTCTGTGTACTTTCTGCATATTACGTGAACTATGATCTCATCACTTTGCTCATTCCTTTGTTTTAAAGTTGTCAAGATTATAAAGACACCTTGCATACTTTGTATTAACATCTACACTATTTGGGCTTTTTTTATTACAAGTTACATTCTTTATGATATTATAGTGTAGTAATTTGGACTAAAACAAGCAAGCACAGTGTGTGTTTTCAAAAACTGCTTGGATTTCAACATGTTTCCATTACTTGTTGATAAAACATTTTGAAGTGTTTTGGTTATTCACAGAAACTTTGCATTGATTTCCTTCAGAAAATAATACTTTGGTTTTTGTTAATTTGAATTTCTTAGAAGCTCACAACTATACTGCAGCAAAACTGAACTTACTGTAACTCTTGGAGAAGACAAACTGAAGAAATAAAAATTGTTCATTTTTCTGATGAAACATTGTATAATCTAAACAGATCCAACATTGTTTTGATAGGTCTTATTCAATTTTATGAAATGTTTTCTTTCTATCTAGGTATTCACTAAAATGAACTGGTTACATTGTGTTGTTATACCTTCAGCATCTGACTACAGTCATTTGAGGAGGAAATTGGTTTCTACCAGTTGTAGTTAATTGTGATTGGACATGGTAACAGTAAAATGCGTTGTACTTTTATATTATGCAACAAAATGTTATTATATTAAAAAAAGAACAAATTTTATTTTACAAATGAGTAGGAAAAATATTTAATTTTATATAGTTTATCATAGTGTTTGTTTTTACATTTGAAAATATTTAAAGATTTCATGCAATGGGACTGTTGTAATCTAAGTAAGAATTCTAAACTTCGAATAGTTAAATTGATTCTTAAAACCTAATGACCATATTTTGAATACTTGAATTTATGACAGTCAAAGTTTCTAGTGATGGATGGCCCATAGAGGGAATGGAAAGTGAAAGTATGCTCATAATGTAATAAGTCAATTATCATGCATTTACAAATATATACAATAATGTCTTAATAACTTAGAGCATAACTAAACTTCTAAAGTTTGATACAAATTCCAACAATAGTCTGTCCTACCTTACTTGTACATAGCTGTTTATAGAAAAAAAAAACACCATTAATGCTGTTCATTTTCCCTTTTTATGGACCACCCCGTATAAGTACGTTTACTTTTCGTTATTCATAAAACACAGTTTGATTATTATTAGATATCAAAGTAACTCATCAAGTGTGTTTTGTTTTATTTCTAATTACATGAAATTATCTCTTCAGGTTGTATAGATTATATTGATCAATAATGTAAACTGTTACATTCAATGTGACTTTAAACTTATTTTATTGTAGTTTTCACATGGTATTGTTATACGTGTGCTCTCTCCTGTGAGCCATTTCTTCGGTATGTTTTCCTAAATTATATTTCTGGCTACTTTTGTTGATAGTAAAATATACATTTTTCTGGTATTTAGTGCAATAATAGGAAAGTAATTATGAATATTTTCCCATGCTAAGTAATTGTTGAACATATTTATCTTGTAATATTCTTTACTTAAAAGAAAGTGTGACTAGTTTTGAGAAAAAGTAAATATGTGACTTATGGGAAGCACAGAACATCAGTGAGGTAGCAATGGCCACTTTGCAAACTGACAGATTATCTTTCATTAAAAAGTTAACTGAATACTTTGTAAAACATTGTAGTTGTTTTTACTGGATTTTTCATTGAAAGGATCTTTGAATAGCAAGCATAATTTCATAATGAACCCTTTCGTATCATAAGGGTTCATTTCTTATACTGAGGTGATCAAGGTTTGACTTTGTTTTTTGTTGGTAGTGTTAAGGCTTGTATAACGAGGAGTACCTGAAACTTTTGATTTCATTTTAATGTAAAAATGCTTTAAGTCACTCCATATGAATCTTGTGTATTTGGTATTCTCAAATGTAAGTTGTTATTATGAGTGTTAATCAAGTTTTTGACAGCTCTTGGTGTTTGAAAAATTAAGATTTACAGGAATTCATAAGATTGGACACTTAACTTTTTTTTTCCTCCTATACATATGACTTTTTTTTTTGAAGAAGCGTATGATACATTGTGTACAATTATTGGGATTATATGCTACTTAATTTTTCTGGGTCCTAATGTAATACTTTTTAACATGATCATGAAATATTTAATTTTGTGTAACATTTTGTATGGTGAAAATAAATGTGAACATTGCTGCTGTATACCTGTACCTGATCTGCATTGTCAATAAATAATCTGCTGCATAAACATCCTTTTTTGTTTCACCACTATATGTTTAACTACCTAGTTACTGATATCAATTGATGTTAGTAAAAATATATTATTCTAACGTTTATGCCTATGCATGGGTGCCAAGTACATGGGGGTCCCAGGGCTCTGCTTCCCTCAGGAAGGCATTGCAGGGCCCAACCCCTGGGGAAAACTGCTATACATATATTATAATGCTACCTCCTAGTAATAAACAACTCGGTGAAAGTTTAACACTGGTTTTACACATTAATTAATTTCGTCTTGGGAGCAAATGTAAAAGCCTGTCATGTCTCAAAGTGTTCCAGAATTATAAAGCCAAGTTGGAATCTAAATTTTGACCCCTCCTCACGAAAAGTAAAAGTCAGTGCTTATTTATTTATGTATATTATATATTAATAACAGCATAACACAAATATAACAAAGAGAAGTTGTGTAGAAAGTTAAAATCTAAAATGACCCTTTTAATATTTCAATTGGTTGCAGTAATAGTGATGGTAAATCAGTCAAAAATATTGCTAATGCCACTCATTGCAATAAAATAAAAAGAGCACTCAGCTGGTGTCTACAGAGAACTACACCAAAGATATGGCCATTTTTGAAACAACATAATTTATAAAGTTTGCAGACTGCCTTCTGTAAGTTTAAAGGCAACAATTTGAATACTTTATAAATTAGAGATTAAGTGGCAATTTGTAAATATTTAATGTTGATTTTTACAAATTAGTTTTCTTATGTAAGAAAAGTCTTTTAAAAATATTTTAGTAATAATTTATAGGCCAATTCTAAAATGCTACTACTTCAAAGCATATGAGAATTTCTCTTTATAAGCTTTGACTGAGGTGATCCTTATGTTTCAACATAACACTAAATGAATTGCTTTCATCTTTACTTGACTGAGACACAGAATCATCTGTTTCAAGTCATTTCCATTTGGTTGAGTTCCGAGTATTATTATCATATTTTCTGTTTTGAGCTTCTTTGAATCACATTGGCTGACTGCCTGATAAGGCTGACCTGCTTTATAACAAAGTTATATTCTCCCTTTAGCTGATTAATCAGAAATATCCAGAAGCATTTCTACTCCATGTGAAAGCTATAAAGTAGTTCCACGTGCACGATAGTACAGGATAGACACCTCAACTGAATTTCGATCACTTCGCTCAGTTCTCTTTCTTGCATCGCTCCTTGGCCAGTGACGAAGACAAAGATGATTCGTCTCGTGCTAGAACCCTTCTTAAACAACCTGCTACTTTCTGCCGCTAGTTTAAAAAAAAACAAGCTTACTCTCAGGATAGTTCCACATCATGCAGCCCCCTCCCATCTTCATCACTAGTTAACCGATCGTTAGTTAAGCTCAAGCGGGCACTGGCCGGCAATTATTAAGCGCCAGCAAGTGAAAGTGGGTTTTCCCGTTTCCCCCCCCCCCCACATCCAATTCTAGGCATTGAATCTATAGATCTCCCGGCGCCCTGAAGGACCATAAGTCCCACATCGACCGTTGTTTTTGTGTTGTACTTTCAGTCCCTGGTTTCCTCTATGCTTCTTGCTTGCCACCGATCGATCAGCCATTGTGTGATACTCAAATTATCAAGTTTTTGTTGTTGTTGTTGTTCTCAGCATAAGTCTAAATTTTTTTCACGGGTGGGGGTGAAGAGAAAAATTTTTCTGAACACACCCGGTTGCATTCAGTCCTAAACCCTTGGTTTGGGTTTGAACATTTGAAGTCAAAAACTACTATCATGATTTGATGATGACGATAGTACAGGAGTTTTAAGCAAGAACTGGCTTGTGGCGTTCATAGCGACGTAGGTGAGGGAAAGTTGAAAAGAACCGGCGCCTCCCCAGTGAAAGTGTTTTTTTCGGGGGTTTTCTCGGATACTCCCGTTTTTCCCCCACAGCAAAATTCACCTTAGAATAACTCTTAATTCCGCTAGCGGGGTGAAGAGAAACAGAAATTTTTGAGTGTCTCTGGTTGTCTAACAAGTCCTTTTAGACTTTAAAACCATAATAACTGTCAAGTCGATACGATACGATAATCCAGAATAGGATACAACAATCGCATGAAATAGAAGAAAGCCCCTTAACCACATCCTGCCACAGAAAATAACATCTAGGTTAGAATATTATATTTGACCTTGACCACATTTATCTATATTCAGAAAAAATGTTCTATGATATGATCAGCAAAACATGACATATTATACTCAGGTGTAATTTTAAATTTTATCGTGCTAGATTACATTGAGCCAAGGTTGAGTTTCAAAGTGTACTTTGTATTGAGTTTTGAAGCAAAAGTACTCACAGACCTTGGAAAGGATCAAGAGGTTTTGACCAATCTAGCATATCTAGCCATTTTTACGGGGAGGGGGAATAACAAGTCCCTTTAAAAGTAGATTGATGAATAATGGCCAGAAGCATTAACTTACTAAGACACCAACTGTAACGATCCTCTCTTCAACGTTTAACCAACATTAACCTTGTATTTGGAAACTTAGTAACGAACCTGTCAACAACATAATCTAGATCAATGGAAAAAGCACGTTCTCTGTGCACGCTAATTACTGTTAAACTGTTCAATCTTTTATCTGCCATATTGGTTCTAAGGTGGTTTTTGATCAGCTTTAGCTTGCTAAAGCTCCTTTCACAGCTGCATTTTTTTGGAGATTCACTTGTGTACGTTTACCATGTATTGAACCTTTCAGAAGTTTGTTCACCTTGATATTTAATACATGTTGTAAAATGATGACAGACAAATCAGTAAACTTTGCTTCTATATGCAAAATATTCAAGCCAAAGATATGCTTTATACCATTCAGGTATGGATTTTCGTCCACGAATCTTAGGAAAGCGGCAGGTCTCATTAAGACTAGGTCGAATTGGTACATTGTCAGGTGTTCGGGATATGTCAGCCGCACCACCTACTCCAAGAGGTAAAGTTGATTTTCCACTGCTACTGCTCGGCTCGTGTAATTCTCCAACGTTAGCGAATTCGCCCAATATATCTTCATGTTCTTGACCAGAAGTATCCACACTGCCTTTTTGGTTTAATAGTATCCTCTGTCGGGTCTTCAGGTACGATTATTTCATCTTCAGTCCTTCCGTATTTCTTGCTTGGTCCACCCGTCTCCTAGACTTATCTTCCTGGGAATCCTGTGATTTACGCGGGGGTGGGTGGGATAGTATAATATTGTCATCGCTCAGGCAAAGCAAAGCATAACATTTATAGTCTTCGATCTTAATTAGTTATAGAGTTATCAAATAAAAAATCAGACCCTCTTGCCACGCCCTCCTGTCAATCCTCCCTTTCAGAACTTGTCAATAGTTTCCTCTGACTCTTAATCTTTTATTATATATATAACCAATAGAAAACCAAAGGTTTCCCCTTTGAAATGGCATGTTATTCTACGTTCTTTTTCTCTATAGACATGTGTAATTTCGGTTTCAGTTTTACATTTGTTCCCACAGGAAACATATCGATCAGGTTTGCCATTTTTGTATCGATGTTTGTGGCGTAGTTAGAAAGCCAGATAAATTGTGATAGTTGTGGGACATATTCTGCTTTTTTGCATGTTATTATTCTGTGTTCTTTCAAGTATCATTCAATTAAATAAATAATTATTTAGTGCAGTAGTACCATTAGTATAAAAGAGTAGGGTTATTGTAGGATATATCTGGTTGACTTCTAGCATACAAGAAAAAAAAATTTGATTTATACACGTAGGATTAAATTGGGGGGGGGGGGCAAGAAAAAATAGAGTGGGAAAATTTTAATTTAACACCGATATCAAAATAAATATGTATTGATTACATGATAATTGTAGCTCTTGGTCATATTTTGGTGTGTGACATATAACGTTAACGCACTAGGTGAACTACAACTACATGAAACACACGGGCATGTCGAATAACTTCATTTACTGCATAAATGTCTAACTAAATTCTTAACGTATAACAACAGAAAAAAATACAGCAACAACACTCGTAATATATATGATAAAATATAAAATTAATTCATTAAACTGAATACAAGAGACCAGTGCTTGTACTGTATATACATTATACACATACAAATAAAAACTCTTTCAAAAACATGAAAAGTACTGATAAGATAAACTTTGGATTAAATATGGTAAACCCATGATAAAAATATTACCTTCCCTCCAAAAAAAAAAACAAATCAGGATGCACGAGATGGACGAATACAAATAACATAGGGTAAGACACTAGCTGACCATGTGATACATAAAATCAAACAAAACAAAACATAAGCTTGTAATAACTGAATAAGCACATAAACGAAAGCTCTTTATAAAAAAGGAAAAATACACAAATGCATAGTGAAATTTATAAAAATTAAATTATAACTGTAGAATAATATGATAAAAGAAAATAATAAATTAATATGATCTTAAACCAAAGATTTTTATGAAACAGGTGAACGTAAAAATGGAACTACAAAGAGAAATAACAACATTGCATCATATATATATATATACATACATACATAAAACAAACTAAAAATATGAATTAATACATAACAGGGTGATAACTCAGAGTAAAGATATAAACCAAGCAAAAACTTGAATGTACGAAACATTCAAAAGTAAGTGAATATCAAAAAATATATACTGAAATACATATTTATGTCCAAGGATTTCAGCAGATCTACTGTAACTGGTTTTCACAAGTCCCTTCCTTATTAACCTAGAAATTCTTCTTGACAGCCTTGGATTCTTTCCTTAGTGATGAGCCTGATGGTTTGGGCTCTCGACTTGCGATCTACGGGTCATGGGTTCGAATTCACTGTTCATTGATAAAAGAGTAGCCTTCCCTCTAGTTTGTCACTTCAAAATTAGGGATGCTAGTGCAGATAGTCTTGTTTGTTTGTTTGTTTTTGAATTTTGGCGCAAAGCTACACGAGGGCTATCTGCGCTAGCCGTCCCTAATTTAGCAGTGTAA